ATAGATACACATACACACACACACACACACATATATATACACATATACACACACACACATATATATATATATATATATATACACACACACACACACACATATATGTTAAATTTATAAATATTTTTGAAATATTTTAAAGATTTAATATCTTTTTATTTATTATCCACAGTCCACACAGAAAATCATTGAACTCAAAATCTATTTTAAACTTGCCAATAAACCACTTTTTTTTTAATTTTGGGCAAAAAAAATAAATAAAATAAAATAAACATAAAACTAAAACAAAGAAAAATTGTCGTAAAATGAATACAATTTTTTTTATTGTTTGAATATATTTAGTCAGATAAGAACTCCTTTGTACAGAATTTGTCAGATTTTCTTGCTTACACTGAAGCTTAAGATGCTCGTAGGAACATCTCAAGTTATGCTGCAGAACATGAACATCAGGTTTTGTTTATGTGAGGTTCAGTGCTGCTGCCATTGATTCAAAAAAGGGACAACCCAAATATAATGCCATTCTGCAATACGTGTACATTTTTAATTCAACTTTCCAGTTTGAGAGCGTGATATGACAGTGTTTTCACACTAGATGGCAGTAGTGCTGCTCTCACATGATCCAGATACATGAACACCGTTTATAAACAAATGCTTCTAATGACTTTGTTATAAACATACAAACATTATTTACAATGCAGGACTTTATTTCATAACCCAAGTCTTCAAGTTTCATTACAGGTGCTTAAATTAATTTACATACAGACTCTTCTCAAAGAAATTATGCAAATCTCAGAAAAAAATATTTTAATAAATACATGTTCCCTTTTCATAAATAACAAGAATAATAAACCGTTTCAGTTTTAAATTGGAATAAATAACTACATTAACATATCTGACCAGCACAACAAATCCATGATGTGATATGATAAAACAACGTACTTGTTCCAATTCACTGCTCAGAACTCATCTACCATTTATACTATTAAAATACTTTTTAAAATCTTTTCAACGTGATTTTTCTTACGTTCATGTGCGTATTTGGTTATAGGAGCGTTCAAAAGCTCCCAGAGTTCAAGTCAATGGAGTCAGGTTTTCAACATTCATTCATGCGCTCTGTTTCTCAACAGAGATTCATGCACTGTGGTTTGTCAGTCATATTTCTTGCAGCTTCTGGAATGGATTTTGTAAGTACAATAATGACGTTGTAATACTTTTAAACAAATAAACTATACGGAGGGCTGGTGTGGTGGAGTAAACACTGAAGCTGCCAACAGCCACAGGTTCTGGATCAGAAAACCTTTTTGTAACTTTAAAACGGACACTTCGAGAGTTTTGGTTTCAAGGTTTGCATCACGGGAAACTTGCATGCAGAAGGAAGGCTTACGGTAAGAGTCTTTGAAATGATCATTTGGTCTTGTCGTCCAGTCCACTCTCTGCTCTCAGAGCCTGACTGCTGGCAGAGATGAACCTGATCCAGTGCTGAAGATCCTCTGAAATCTCAGGGCAATCCACCTTCAGATCAGAGACACATATACTGTATGTTAGATCAACAGGAACATACCTCAAAGAAAACCACGGTATTACCATATTACACGTCTAACAATATGATATTATCAAAGTGTCTTGAAATGATTACCATGTTCATGGTAAGCCAAGGAGTGTCATGGTATTACCATGCTACTGTTTGTTAGGGCTGTAATGCAGGGGTTTTCAAACTAGGGTCTGAGGACCTACAGGGGGTCCGTGGAAATGTTTAGAGAAAAACAGTGTAAAAATTTGTAAAATAAACAAATTAATAATAATAATAATAATAACAACAACAATAATGATAGTAATTATTATTATAAAGAAATAAAATTGAAATAAATACATTTTATTAAAATAAATAAAATATACCTAACAATACAGTATAGTACTACTGAGTAGAAAAAAATAGTAGTATAATTATTTTTAAAATAATTTTTACACATATGTATAATATACATTTTTAACTGTATTAATTGGGTCTTCAGAGGGTCCAAAAAATAATTAATTAATTAAGTAATTAAATAGTACATCAACAATAATAATACATACTTTAGTAAGATGAATGTAATAATGTAGAATAATAATTGTCCAAATTATATATTTTTTTACATATATTTATAATATTAATTTTCACTGTATAAAAAGGTGTCTTTATACATTAATGCATTAATGTAAAGTACTACAGTGAGTAGAAAAAAAACATAATTAATCTTGTGCACTACAACTAAATATTTTCAAACTAATATTTTACACAAATTTATAAATATTTTTTTACATGATAATATACAACTGCCTTTTAAATTTTAGAATGGGGCATGAATAGGCATGAGAATGAGCATATTTGGGGGTCCAAAAAGTAACAAGTAAAAAATAAATAAATAAGATTACAATAAAATTAGTCTAAAATAAATACAATACACATTTCAAATAAATAAACAAGTAAATATACAAGCACAAACATTTAACACTACATTACTATATTTTAGGATGGGGCTTTCTTGCACAGGGATGAGCATATTTGGGGCTTTTAAAAGTAAAAAAAAAAAAAAAGAAAAAGAACTTTAAAAAACTTTAATGCACAAAATGCATAAGCACATGATGCACTCGATATAATGCATACCTTCCTCTTGCAAAGGTGATCCAAGATCCTCTGTGGATTTCCGCGAATGACATTCTGCCTGCACAGCATGACAGCAGAAACGAACCCGTCTGTCTTGGACACGAATCTCTGCTCCAGGTAGAAGGACTTCTCGTCCCACGCCACGATCCGCGTGCGCAGCTCAAAGGCCTCGCCGAACGCCAGCGAGCGCCGGTAGCGGATGGTGGTGGCTCCGATCAGCATGGAGGCGTCGAGCGCACGCGCCGCCAGGAAGAGCCCGTTCCGCGTGCAGTACGCGTAGCGCGCGAAGTCGCACTCGCGCAGATAGCGGGCGTTATTCATGTGACACATAAAGTCCAGGTCGTGGAGGAAAACCCTTCCGTGAACCACCTGCTCCGCCAGAACGTCTCGAACCGGACCCTGGAACCAGGACTTGATCACCATCCACGTTGCTCTCAAGAAGTACCAGACGTCAAAACTGCCGAAGAGAAGCAGAGAGCCGGACACAATCCACAGCAGCATGATTCTGTTACACAGTGAAGATTATTCATTATTCACATCATGGATAATTCATACAGATCACGTGGAGACGCAGAACTGGGTTTCTATGGTATTAACAAGTGCTAAAAACAACACGCAGGACATCATTGCATCTTTTTAAAAAATATATAAATTTAGATATATTTAAAAACAGCTATGGAAATACCTCACATCATTCATTCATATCGGAAATGAATAAAAAAAATCAACGTTTAGATTAAATATCAGATGTACATGTAGATCATAGACAAGGTGGTGCAACGAAAAATCTATCCTAAGTAGACCGGTTTGAGTTTTAATAAACGACGTGCATTTATCAGTGTTCATAATCATATTGTCAAATATGATATTCTTGTTACTCACGCGATTGACACCCGCAAGACACCGGCTTCACGCACTTCCGCACAGACAGAAACTGCGCTCTGATTGGTTTGACGAGGCCACGTGACAACGTCAGCAGGGCAGGCCGCCATACGAACGGCGTGACGCCAGAATTCCATTACCGCTTCCAAAACAAAATTTTATTTAAATACATTTTCTAAATGCAAACCTCTTTTTTGAGATTCAAACTTGAAATGAAAATGTCTTTTGAATCTCTTCAGAGAGAATTCTCTACAAACTTAAAAGCAATAAGAGCAATGGCTTTGCTAAAGGACTTGGCACTGGACTGAAAGACTGAAAGACCCTGGACTGTTGTTGTATTGTTATGATTTGACAATGATGACAATTGTTATTGTTTTTAAAGCATTCAATAAAGTAGTTATATATTTGTTTGAACAGATACTTTTTTGCTGCTACTTGGATGTGTTGGAATAATTCCCAATTCATTGTATACTGAGGCATGTTTTTTTTAAATACATTTAAGCAGTAATATATTATTTTGTGTAGAAGTTATTACAGAAATTAGAAATTACAAAGATATATCATTTAATCCATTTCAATCTACCAAATCTTCTGATTTGTGCATTAGGACAGCCAAAAATATAAAGAGAAATAGTTATCTCAGAATAACAGGATTAGAAAATGGAACTTAAATTACGCATATTGCATAAGTGGCATAGTTGTTTTATTTATTGTTATTGTTTTGTTTCCCTTTCTATTAATGCTTCACACTCCAGTCAAGTCAGTGGCAGTAATACACAATTAAAAAAATCTCTTTTTAAAAAAATTGTTTCTACATATTCTCAATCTTACAGTATGCACAATACATAATGCAGCATGAATCAGACTTTTAGATCACAGTTTTATTTTGCATCAGAGTGTCCAAACACCTGAGACATTAATGCATGTGCATCAGAATGTTCTTGTGTTTTTGTAAACCAGTGTTTGAGAGTTCATTTAAGGCAGTGAGTCGTCATTCGCTCTTTTTATCATCGAGCTGACTTTCCCCCCTGAGGGCTTTACTGCTGGCGGAGATGAACTTGATCCAGTGCTGCAGGTCTTCAGGAAATTCTGGCACTTCAACCTACAAAATCAGTTCATAAATGTCAGGCTTTAGTGTTTTTTTTTTTTTTTTTTAAAGGGAATTAATATTCGATTGGACCAACATGTAACTTTATAAAAAAATTTGTGAACCATTTCTTTAACCCTCTGGTTTTCCTTCTTCCCTAAGTGACAACAAGCTTAACTTTTTTCATGAAATAAATGTACTATCAATAACTTTATTTTTTAATTTTCTTTTGCTTTTGTGGGGGATTTCATGGTACTACACACACTATATTCACCTCTAAATTATGTACCATTTATTTCTATTTAAAATAATGAAAATATTAGAAAAAGCTAATACTAATATTATTAATATTAATAACTAATACAGCGTTTATATAGGGCTGAGTGCTCTTTATCTGCTTATAAAAATATTTTCAGACATAATTAATTACTTTTATAAAGTTGCATTTGGATATATATTTAGACATTATCAAAGACTACTTCACGGAGTCTGATTTGTAGATTGAACACCAAAAAATAGCTCTGTATTTTCACTTTTTTTTTTTTAAGATGACTTAGCCTTTTATGGAAGCTCTTTTCGGCTACGGAATAAAATAATTTAAAAAGTAATTGCAAGTTTTTAACTCACAATTCTGAGAAGAAGAAAAAAACCATCAGAATTGTGAAATCCTGCAAATGCAAAAAAGAAAAAAGAAAAAAAGAAGCTGTAATTACCTTTTTTTTACTGAAATTCTGAATTCTCAACATTATTTCTTGAAATTCTAAATTTTATCGGAATTGTGAATTTCTATCATGCAATTCTGCATTTACAAACAGACTTTCATAGCCTTTTTGAATCATGTCCACATTTTTTTGTGTGTTTTTATAGCAACTGCCACAAATGTCAAAAGATTGTACCATTCCAATGTCAAATTGGAATTTAAAAGGCAGTTGTATATTTTCATGTAAAAAAATATTATTTATAAATTTGTGTAAAAGATACAAACCTCTGCTCCAGGTAAAATGACTTCTCGTCCCAGATAACGATTCGACTGCGAATCTCAAACGCCTCACCCACACACAGCGGCCGTCTATAGCGGATGGTAGTTGCCCCAACGACCATGGTGGCCCCTAGAGCTCTTAAAGCCTTGAACACCCCATTGCGGGTGTACAGAGAGAAACGGGCAAAGTCACACTCGCGCAGGTAGCGGGCATTGTTCATGTGGCAAAGGTCAACGTCATGGAGAACCACTCGTCCGCTAGCGGTCTGCTCTGCTGTGATGTCAAATACAGGTGAGAGGAACCAGGCCCGGATCAGCACAACCACTACCCGTAAGTAATACCACACATCCAGACTGCAGAACAGGAGTAACAACACACCCACAATCCACAGCAGTGTGTCCTCCCTGCAATATACAGAAGTAAAATTGAGGCCAGAATAGTAGATACATACATAGTTTCTGTGGATCTTAATTCACCCTTGCACAAATGAATGCCTAAAAATCTCTTAAATCAGAGCAGAAAGTCTTAAATTCATAAAGTCACGGCATTAGGCTAAATGTTGCATGCACTGCAAAAATGAATATCATCATCAGTATTTTTGCCTTGATTTCCAACACAAATATCTAAACATCCTTAAATCAAGATACATTTACTTGAGATGCAAATTGAACATATGAAGTGTTGTTTTCTGAGCAAATTTAAGTGGGTTTACGCTTAAAACAAAAACAAATATTTGTCAGTATGAAAACTTGTCTTCCCTTTGAATTAAACAGATTGTTCTTGTTTTAAATCACAAACTCACTTTTGATCAATTTCTCATGAAACAAGACATATGTGATTTTGCATCTCAAGTTAATGTATCTTGATATAAGAATCTTTAGCTATATATTCGCACTGGATAACAAGCCAAAAATACTGAGGAACAGCATGACTTCTTGACTCTGTGATCACAGGAAAAGTTATTTCCATATTTTAGTGATTTGGTGCAGAGCTATTCAAGTCTAAAGCCATTTATTTTTTCATTTTTTCTTTAAAAAACTGGATTAAAGTATTGGAGATCAGTTGGAAGTTGTATTTTCAAACTGTGAGCGAAGCACTACTAATACAAGACATTTACATTTAGAGATCACATTGGTGTACCGTGTTCCATTCAATTTATTTCCTAAATTTTCATTAATTGGTCTTAAAAAGTCTTACATTTACCTTCTTAAAACCTGCAGTAACCCTGTATATTAAACATATGCCACATCAGCAACAGTGAACAATGACATTATAAACTATTTTAAACTGCATATTTATCGTTACTGCATGTAAGACTATTTGCACTCAGATGTCATTTTTGAGGTTCTGAGGTTTTCAGGGTTTTGCTACAAGCCTCGTTCAAGTAGAACTAGTTAGGCTGGTTTGTGAACACGTTGCAACCTCAGTGGTTTTTGGCTTCTTTTTAAACGTACAAACGTAATTAAACGTGTTTCCAGTATCAGACACCAGAGAATGTATTTTTGGTAAAATGATAAATAAGCTACAACCACAATAATAAGAGAACTCATTCAAGCCTACATTTAGTTTACGCTTGATCTAGTTCACGAATTTAAATGTAATCTCCAACAGTTTAACAACAGTTTGATCTGTTAAAGATAAAGATTTAACGATTACTGAATCGGTGTTTGATTTAGTTTTATTGAACTTCTACTTCTTCTTCACAGAGGTCTCTATCACAGTTGTTGTGTCTTCCCTTTGAATTAAACAGATTGTTCTTGTTTTAAATCACAAACTCACTTTTGATCAATTTCTCATGAAACAAGACATATGTGATTTTGCATCTCAAGTTAATGTATCTTGATATAAGAATCTTTAGCTATATATTCGCACTGGATAACAAGCCAAAAATACTGAGGAACAGCATGACTTCTTGACTCTGTGATCACAGGAAAAGTTATTTCCATATTTTAGTGATTTGGTGCAGAGCTATTCAAGTCTAAAGCCATTTATTTTTTCCTTTTTTCTTTAAAAAACTGGATTAAAGTATTGGAGATCAGTTGGAAGTTGTATTTTCAAACTGTGAGCGAAGCACTACTAATACAAGACATTTACATTTAGAGATCACATTGGTGTACCGTGTTCCATTCAATTTATTTCCTAAATTTTCATTAATTGGTCTTAAAAAGTCTTACATTTACCTTCTTAAAACCTGCAGTAACCCTGTATATTAAACATATGCCACATCAGCAACAGTGAACAATGACATTATAAACTATTTTAAACTGCATATTTATTGTTACTGCATGTAAGACTATTTGCACTCAGATGTCATTTTTGAGGTTCTGAGGTTTTCAAGGTTTTGCTACAAGCCTCGTTCAAGCAGAACTAGTTAGGCTGGTTTGTGAACACGTTGCAACCTCAGTGGTTTTTGGCTTCTTTTTAAACGTACAAACGTAATTAAACGTGTTTCCAGTATCAGACACCAGAGAATGTATTTTTGGTAAAATGATAAATAAGCTACAACCACAATAATAAGAGAACTCATTCAAGCCTACATTTAGTTTACGCTTGATCTAGTTCACGAATTTAAATGTAATCTCCAACAGTTTAACAACAGTTTGATCTGTTAAAGATAAAGATTTAACGATTACTGAATCGGTGTTTGATTTAGTTTTATTGAACTTCTACTTCTTCTTCACAGAGGTCTCTATCACAGTTGTTGTTTTTTTAAAACAGGAACTGCTGTGACAGCTGAGCAAACCTTTGCGAAATCAGTTTCGCATTTACAACGAACGATAAAATGGAAATGAACTACTCGTCGGAACTAAATTAAGAGTTGTGAAAGTGTCAAACAGTACTTACATGTCCACGCTGTGTTACAGTGTTACCAGTTGCTGTTTCACGTCTTTACTTCCGGCTGAACGCACGATGACACGCCCCCTATATATGACGTAACACAAGGCGGTTCGTTATTACATTTATAATAATATTTTGTAATAATTATATATGATATGTTTAATATATATATATACATTATATAATAAAATATTAAGATATTATATGTATTATGAAAATATTT